TACCGGCCTTGTGATACGATGGGTGCGTTCAGAGGCACAACTTGCAAACGCACTCACCAAGCGCGGAGGGCGTGAACTCGAGCTCTACTACAAGATGAATTTCACATGGCGAATGGTGGAGGATCCTAGTATGCGATCCGCCAGACGACGACGCAGTGAAGGTCTCGAAACTTTTGAACAGACTCATTTGCCAATTTCTAGTGTGTGATTTTTCCTGAACTCCAGGAAAGACGGGGCATGCAAGTGTTATAGTAACACAGGCACAGCTCAGCGCCAAGTACGGCTTCGCAGCTGCTTTGATCAAGGCCGAAGGGGTGAGCCTAGGAGAATAAAAGTCCGCATTGCGTGCCGCTCGTCTGCACTGTCATACTGGACACGTCTCCTCGCAACACTTTCTGCAGATCTGTCATTGAGCCATTCTACCTGCACCCCCGTCCCGGGGCGTGCAGGGTTTAGGGGTTTATAGGGTTTATAGGGTTTAGGGTTTAGGGTTGTGTAGGGTTTAGGGTTTAGGGTTGTGTAGGGTTTAGGGTGTAAAGCCGAGGCAGGAAGAACGGCCCTAAACACCGAAAGCAAAGCCGGGCTCCTGCAACGTCTCGGAGACTGAGTCTACATACGATAGTCCCTGAATACATCATATAAAACGTACTAGACCACCCTCATCTATATCTATATACATATATACACATCTTTTTATGTGTATATACATATATATCTACACATGATGCTAAGTACTATTGCAACTATTGCTCAAGTCTGAAAGTCTGAGTCGAAGCGGCTCGAGGCATAGCCATAGAAGCAAAGCAGCACGGCAGCCTCAGTTCAGCGGAAAACCACGACGCCGCAAGAGACCTCTAGTATTCCAGCGCTTTCTCTCGCAGCTCTTCCACTGCACTGGCAGTGCTGAGGGCTGGGGCCAGCGTCGCGCCGACCCGCATGGTGGCCTGCAGTGCAGAGGGGCGATCTGAGAGTCAGCGTCGGACTCAACCCGAAGCCCACTGTGAGCAGGGTACGCGGTCACCGATTTTGGAGGAGAGGATGAGGAAGCCGACGGTGGACATCGCGAAATTCGCGACCCCGTGCGGTACCATTACCTTCACCGCGCGGGGGTCGTTCGAGGGGAGGTCGTTCTTCACTTCTCAGGGGCTGCAATCGGGTTGAGCGGCTCAGGGCTCAGTGGGGTGCAGCCTTCGGCCCATAGGACTTTAGGGCCCAAACTGAAGGGATTAAGAGGCTTACAGTAGGGTGCGGCTCACTAGTCAAGGCACCATGGAGGTTGCTGCTGCCAAACTCTCACGTGACTTCTCCTGAGGTCGTCAAGGCAGCGTTTAGGATGCTGCCCACGGCATCTCTGACTCTGACTGTTCGCCAGGCGGCCAGAGAGGTTGGGTCCATGAGACCAAAGCTCTCGTACTCCAGGAGCAAAGGCAACAACAGTATCAAAGCCTGAGCCAACAGGCAAGACCTTTCCTGGAAGAATCTCTGCCAGCAATTGCAGCCAGGGTGCGGCGACGCACTGAAAGACACACCAGTAAGCCAGCCTGAGAGTTGCACGCAGCTCAGGCTCAAGCCTGACTTCGGTCACCAGCCAAGCCACAGCATCAGCAAGAGGATCTTATCCTCGCATGGCACAGTCGGACAAAGCCAAATGCAACGGAAAGCAGCGAATGAACCCGACCCAACACCCTTCTCAAAGGCCGCAGCAACCTCCTCCACCCTCTCCCTGCCTTAACGGGTGGTGGGCCGACATGAGGCGTCACCGTGGGCACTGCCGCCACGGGCTCCGCTACCTGGACCCGACGCCACTGCGCAAACCCACAAAAACCCTGTCAGCCCGATCAAACCCTCATCGTATGGAGCCTTTCTCGGATCCCTAACAAGCTCCCGAAACACAAAGAGAAATATAAACCTGCTCAGGAAGTCATGAGCTGACTCTCGTGCGTTGAGGACATGACAGCGTGAATCGCACTGCGGTTTCGCCTGCTCACCTTCCTCCGCGTCGGTCTTCTTCTTCCCTTGCATCAAGATGTCCTGCAGATATCACACGGCCGCAAGCATTCCCGCTGCCCAAGGTTTCAAGGAACTCTGATTCGCCCTTAGGGCGTTCTACAGTCTCGAGAGTCTGAAGCTCCTCCTTGTTCTTGAAGAAAGCGCTCACGAAGACCAAGCCTCGTCGGAGCATCTCTCAGAAGCTCATAGCAGCTCCGAGCGGAGCAAATCAGTAAATCGTTCCAGCGATGCCAGCCTATACATCACACGACGAGATCCGTGCCGACACGCATGCAGACTGCCCTGAACCCCATGCATTCTGCAGATCGCAAACTCAGGTCCTTGCACAAGACCGCCACGCCGGTGGACACATACCACGGCCTCGCGCAGTTCAACACTCCCTTCTCTGAGCTCCCAGCCCGGTCACGGCGAAAAAAGGGGCCCCGACCAATGCAAGCCAAAGCGACCTGAGGCTCTGAAGCCACGGAAAGGCCGAGGCGTTTTTGGTGGGGACCCGCTGGGAGGCCGGCTGATGACGCCGGCAATGGGAGCAAGGGCGAAGTTCCCAGCCTCGCAATGGAAAAGAGAACAGCCCACAAAGAGCCCACCCCCCCGCCCCATTCTTCGGCCTGCATGGAGGCGAAGAGGACCTGCCGAGACGAGAGGATGCAAGAAAGCAAGACAGGATCCGATGATCGAAAGCCGAGGCGCCGTGCTGCGAAGCTTCACAAGCGCCTGGGCAAAGATGCCGGGACGCCGCGATGCCCCTAAACTTGGAAACCTCATTTGAGCCCTGTTCAACCCAGTTAAAAACTCCTAGAAAAAGCCGCGCGCAGGGAGAGAAGTGTATAAGGCGCAGACCATGTTCGGGAGGGAGATCTGCGTGACGTAGGCCCGCAAAACAGGCTGCGTGCCGCCAAAGAAGCCAGCCAAGGCCCGACCGGCCATCATCACATAAACGCCACCCTGCCAAGAAAGGGAAAACTTCCAGGAAGAGGGGACTTTAGTGACTTTAGTGTTTAGGGGTCTGGCCTAGGTGGTGCTTTGGGCTTATACAAATAGGGTATATAGGTGTAGATATTATACATATATATATATATATATATCTTCTTCCACACAGTCAAGAGAAGGGCATAGCACCCCCCCTCCCCCCCGCGCGCGCGCGCCTGCGCGCACTGGTTGTCTCTCTCTCTCTCTCTGCTCGGGCTGCTGGGCCCTGGCTTGTTCATGTACATCTCGCTGCTCGATTCCCGTATTCTCTTTCTCCGTGTTCGGATGAGGAGCCCTGACATAGCAATCCTCTGAGATACCCAACGCTTCATAAGCGTCCATCCCATGCGACGACGCGCCACTACTGAAGGCTTTAGGATGGAAGCCCGACCGGGCTTCTGAAACCTCCGTCGGCTGGACAAATTTGAGCTTCAACGAGCTTTACATCATGAGCGCCCTTTCAGCCCCATGGTTGCACCTTGTTGCCACAGTCCTCCGTGCACTCGAGCACTCCTGCGCAAGCACTGAGGCGACTGTTGCGAAAAGGATTGGCAGGAACTTGGCCTCCAGAGCCCAAGGCTGTCGCAAGGCCCACTTCTGAGCTGTTTCCGATGGTTTCTACAATGCCGACGGTCCCGTTCACCACGATGCACCTGAGAAGCGAAGTCAGCTGGACAGAAAGTCGCCGACAAACAGCCAACACCGGAGCAAAAACCAAGAAAAACCAACGGCCAGACCCTGAGGGCCCCGGGCCCTGGGCCCCCGGAGGAACCCGGAGGAACCCTGGCTCTTTTTAGCCAAGCCGCTCGTGTCCCTGCCAAAGGTTCATCGAATCTCCAGGCCGCATGGAATGCAGCTGCCGCTCGCAGCCGCTAAAGAGATAAGCGTTCCCCTGGAGTCCGTAGGCGATGGCTGTTCCGAAGACGGATATCAGAATGCATAGCTTCCTCAGGAAACAGACCATGACATGAATCTTCCGCAGCGCCCACCCGTTCATCCAGGACGACTCCTTCTACGGCTACTTTTGGCTGGGGTCCTTGATCTCGGGGCCCCCCTTGGGAAGTTGAATCTCTCTGGGATTAAGATAGGAATGCCCTAGGTCGTCTCTGAATTTATGGCCAGAGTACTTGAATGGGCTCCCAGAGTGCAAGGTGAAGGGTTTTTGTGCTTAGGGTTCCTGCATTTGCGGGTTTGGGGTGATGTCGGTTTCTGGGCTTGAGGAGATTGTTGATTTTGTGGGTTTGAGGATGGGTTTGAGAATAAAGACGAAGAGAATCGAATCGCAAACGACTACATGAGAAAAAACGCATGAAAGGGACCGCTGCGCTCTCTTTCGGCTTCTGTTCTTCTGGACCGGCGCAGGTACACCGGTCTGCCGCCGTCTACACCCTACAAGCCCAAAAGACTTGTGGTACAGCAACACATGTAGGGACCTCACTAATGTATACTGCAGCAAGGGGGAGGAACGATGTACAAAAGTATACAACCCCTGCGCTGCGAAAATCGGAGGCCAACAGGAGTTGACGAAAGGACTGCGATGTGCTGTGTCTTCAACTGTACAGCACCAAAGGGTGCAGACATCGCTCACCTGGCCCGACTCAGAGTTCGCCGGCAACTCCTCACTTTCCAAGCAGGGGCTCCTTGTTCGCCGCCTCCAGCACGCTGTGGTTGCCCAGCAGCAAGAAGCCCATGCCGCACTTCGCGATGACGTCAATGATGGCGTAGGTCAAGACCTCCAGCTCTTCGGACAAGAAGTTGGTGCCCTCGCACAAGATGAACAGCACCGGGTAGACCCACCAAATGCCCATAGATATGGTGGCAACGGTGTTGAACTTCTTGTACACCTCTCCGCCCAACTTCTGAGCGCTGGCACTGGTGCCCGTGAAGAGCTTCTGCAGGAAGAGGACGAAGACCACCATGCCGATGGTGAACAGCGGCCACTTTCCCGCCGGGCAGAAGCAGGCCAATGCACCGGCCAAGACCATGATCGCATCCATGCCAATGATGTAAAAGGTGTCCCAGAAGTCGGATCCGGCCAGCAGCGCCAGGTCCAGCAGCAGGAGGGGAGTGGTGAAGAACCAGTCCACGTAGCGCATGTAGTAGATGTTGCGGCCGTCCACCTCCTCCACACCAAGGCCGAATGCCATGCTGCAGTACGCCGTTGCCGCAATGGCCGTGACCAACGCGGCCACGTAGTTGAAGCGCTTGGTGGACTCTTGCGACATGGCCAAGAAGGCCAGCGTGCTCGCCGACATGCATCCGCACCCGACGGAAAGGATCGTGAAGATTGACGACATGGCTGCAAAGCCGGAAGTGTGAGCCGCAGGAGGGGAGCTGAAAAGTCTTGGGCCAAAGAAGCCTGGAACCGGAGGGGGTTCCGGTTTTGAATTGGTGGGGGGGGGGGGGGGGGGGGNNGAGGGTCGTGGAGGGTCCTTCTCGCCATGTCAAAAAGTTTCTACGAGCTGCATCCAAGGGGCACGCCCTTGGTGTCTGCAAGCCTGGGCATCCATAGTAGAGAGATCACGGCCATGCTAAAGCGCACCTGCCCGGCTTCGTGAATTGAGCACACCTTTTGCCCTAGGCCTTTATCTTATTCTGAAAGACATGATGGCCGAGTCGCACAAGCACTGCTCACCGGTTCGCGACATCCAGAAGATAACAAGGAAAATAGGTTTGCCTACATAAAACATCATAGAACGAGGGCGCGCCCAATTTTTTGCGAAGGCGCCATCCGCACGTTTAAGGGTATGCTGTATAAGAAAGTTGAAGCGGATGACAAAAGGAAGGAAAACATCCAATGGCCAGATTACATAATAGAGATCCTACTGCCATACAATAATCAAATGGAGCACTCGGCAACGGGATTTGCACCAAAAGAAGCCCGAAAACCCAGTAATCAATTCAATGTGAAGTTAGATTTAACGATGAAAAACGAACCGCTTTTGTCCTGAACTAGATGCAGGCGACGAAACGAGGTAAAATATTTAAGAAACAAAACCCAAATGAAAAAGAAAGGGTGAGCAAGTGGTCGCGAAACGTTTATACCGTTGAGAAGACTGAAACCGCTTGGCATGATGGCAGTTCTGATGTTATGCAACCTTTACCTCAAGCCTTATTCCATTTATAGAAATTCTACTACAGAATGCCATTTCCAATTTCTAGGGCTAGGGATTTCGGGCTGGGGGTTATAATTTCTATCGGGTGGAGCATGATATGCGGTTGAGTATGCTATTTTGACAGCGGGTTAGGCATGGTTCCACAGTATGGTGTTCATCATGTGGGTCTTGCTATGGGTATGTTGGTGAGTTTAGGGTTGAAATATAGGTTGTTATGGGTTGGGTGCTAGGGGATGGTGCATGATCAGAAAATGGAAATGGTCTCTGCTAACTTCTTATTGCCATTAGTGTTGCTGTTGCTCCTGTTAATCTTGCTGTTGCTGCGGCTGGTGTCGTAGTTGTGGTTGTTGTCGTTGCTGCTGCTGTTGCCGATCGCCGTGCTTGCAAACCGGCTGGGGTTTTATGGTTGATGAAAGAGCTGGAAAGCAGGAACGCACAAGCGCAAAAGGAGTGAGAAGACCAAAAGACACACCCACACAGAAGACAGAGAGAGAGAGAGAGAGATATATATATATATATATCTAACCACAAGTGTATCCACGATACAAGTATAGCCATCAACGCATGCAACAACCAAAGTAAACAACGTTCAGACAGCACTTACACTCCGGCAAACAAGCAATGCCTTTCCTACGTAGTGTCATGCAGGAAAGTACCAACACTCACCCGTGACAACATCGAACGCCCACAGTCATACTTATGTCTTCCATCCGGCATGTCATGTGCAAATGCTGAAGAATGAGAGCGGTGCAAGGTGGTATGAAGAATATCGATATGTGTCTGTATCTTGCAACACGCCCTTGAAGATCCAAGGCTTTCCGGCTCTCATCACAGGGCATCTCGCGAGAAGGTATCGGGCTCCCAACTATCTATCTAGCTATCTATCCATCTATCCATCTATTCTTCTATCTATCTGTCTATCTATATTATATACACAAATACTTCTCTATCTGTAAATATGTACACACATTTTTAATCAGATAAAAGGACATATACACCTGAGGAGTAGGGACCCACCCCACCCCAGGGCCCCCGCGGTGGTAAAGCCCGCGATCTCCGCCGTCGACGCACCGATCTGTTGGCCATAGGGGACCATCACTCGGATGCGCGGATTCGGATCAAGAGACGCAAAGGCAAAGCATAACATCTGTTGGGTTTGGGGTTGGGTTGAGGTAGCAAGAAGCGGAGATCGGAGGAATAAGTTCTGAACCCCTCTAAACCCCAAAATTCGAATAGTTGCTCGGAATCCAGAGAAGAATTACTCCCCGAAGAAGGGGTTGCAGACCACAATCACTCGGAGGATTTGAACAGGAAAGCGAAACATCATAACATTGAATTACCGAAACCTACTTTTTGTTGCCGGGTCTCCAAACTTTATATATCAGGGTTGACAATACAATACCAAATCAGTAGGTTATGGTTGTTCAAGGTAGGGTTTGGATCAGATATAGGAATCCAGTACCGTTTTAAGCACCTAGACACCTAGACATAAACAGAGACCCTGCAACAGTTGCATTGAAACATACATCATCAACATATATTATATATATGTTTGTATATACATATATATATATATATATATATTCCTATATAACCTGGCCTTTGCTTAAAGGCAGCGGAGGCACCGGGAGCGGTGAAGAACATGCCCATCACGTCCACCTTGCAGGGCTCGCTGCACGCTTGCACAAGAGACAAAGAGGTCTCTATAGGGTTGTCGGAATTAAGAGAGGGTCCCCGTTGGGTGGGGTGGGGTCGCTTCTTTGGACTTTAGTCTTCTTGCTGGCAAAAGCGGCCATGTTCACCAGCACGCAGCAGGCGAACGAGACCTGCGCCTGGCAGCAAGTACTAAGGTCAGGCATCGAAGCGAGTGCCTCGCGCGCGCGCGCGCGCGCGCGCCGAGTCTCAGCATCCTGCTAAATCCAGGCGGCGCATCATGACGGGCAGGGCGGAGATGGCCCTTTGTGGGCCTCTCCGGCTGTCGTAAGTCCTATACAGTTACAAGGCCTCCAACTGAAGCCAATGCTGCCGGAAGCATTGAAGTGCCTGGGTTTCTTACCGTCAGGTGTGTGATGCAATGCTTATAGGGCCGAAAACCTTACAGAGATTGTCCACCGCTTTTTGTCCCTGCCGATGCAATCGCAGAGGAGCACCCAAGACTTTGCGGGTGCTGTCTCCCACCTAAGACGCATAGGGGATCGTGGAAGAGAGAGGGAGGGCGGGCTGGAGAGAGCCGGATATTCAGCTCTGAGTGGTTCCCTCAGGCATCGTTTGGAAGCTGCGTCAGGACGAAGCCGGTCATCTCGCCTGAGACAACAGAGCTAAGAGTCACCCAAACTTTCATCTTCAGGCTCGCTTTTTCGGAGAGGCCGTGACGAATAGTGGGGAAGTCGAACACGAAGGTAAGATCCTCGAGTTCGAAGAGCGACAGGGACACAGTCCGAAAGTCACTTCACCCGGGCTCTGCACCATCTCCGGGATCTCCGGAAACTCTGCCTGCACTGGCCGTGCTGTTAGACGCTGCGGAAGCCGCGCCGCTTATGCCGCAGACTCCGCGAATCCCCGCTCACGCAGCCGGCGCCGCTGTAGATCTCAGCGCCTGGATCTTGTCACGGAGCATGATGCTGGCGATGCCTGCCGTCGCAAAGCCCCGCAAAAGGGCCCCACTCTCTCTCGCTTCCCCGCTTCCCTTCGAGCGCAGGGTCCCTGGCTGGTCATGCCCGTCTCCATCAAGGTGCGGTCCTGTGTGTACAAGCGCAGAACTCGGCCCCTGCTAGTGCTCCCCTCCCCCCACCCCCACGACGGCCTCTTCCATGCCCTCTTGGCCTCAGCCGGTCTGCGAGTCGAGGAATACGGCTCTGATCTTGCTGATCCCTCTCCTCCCACTCCTACTTCCTACGCCCCGCAGCACTGCCCCTCTTGGCTCAAGGTGCTCGGTGCTCGTCTGCGCTTGGCGCCTGTGACTTCGAGCGCCGACTAGCTAGTGGCCTTGGCTCCTCCGCTAATTTCTGAGGTGTCCGGGTGTCATCCCGCTGCTCTTTATGGGCTCTTCCAAGCTTCTCCCGATCTTGGGCGCCACGCCGATGGCTTCGGCCACGAGCTCGGTGAGCGTGTACTTCACGCGCTCCGGCAGAGCCCTCCGTTGCTGAGGCTTGCGGATGTTGGGGAACAGGAGTCCAGGTGTATGGAGTAGAGGCTTTCGGGTGCTATGACCACAGCAAGAGGACTGCGGAAGGGAAATCCGCCGAATGCAAAATTTATACACACACACCTCTGCCTACCTACCTATACCTACCTACACCGCCCGGCTGAGCGCATGAGTACTCGCTGAGGTCAGAGCAGAGCCATCTTGTCGATTTGAGCCGGCTTTGGGGCCACCTCAGAACACGAGAAGCGGCCTGGTGGCGGTCACGAGAAGCTGCAGTGCTCATCTTAGAGGCTTCGCCCGCCACGACCGTGCGGAACATCCGTGCGTTTCAAGTGGTGTGGCACGTTGGGAGCCCCGCTGCCGCGGTGCCCGGTGCTGTGCCGCTTCCCGGAACCTGCAGATGTCTCTCTTTCTCTCTCTCTGCGAGGCTGGCGCTCCGTGAGTCTGTGCCATCTGTGCCTGCGTCTGTGCCTGCGGTTGGGCGGCCCTTGTCGCCTGAGCTCGGCAGCTCGGCTCCTGTCTTTGCACTTGCCCTTTCCTGAGGCCCGGCCTGCGGCACAGCCCGGCTCATCTTGGCGACCAGGGCCTCCACGGCTACTCGCCGGCTGCTTCGAAGTGCGCCGCCCGGCCGGCCTGCGCCAGCGCCAGCTCGTGGCTGTTGCCGGTCCGGAGACACTCCAAGGCCTCCGGACAGCGTGCATGCAGCGTCTCTGAGGCAAAACTCCGAGACACACCTCCTTGGCGATGGCAACCTCCGGCATGCCGCGGAGAATAGAGATGTTGGCCTGCCTCAGCTGCGACACCTACTTTTATGGCTCCCTGCTGTGGCTCCCTTTGATTCTGTGTGGGACTCATCAGGGGTCTACATTCTCCCAAGCCCCCAAGTAAGGGCCCAGCAGCAGCTTGGTGGCCCCCAGAGCTCTCTGGTCTCCTCCTTCGAAAGTCGGAAGAACCTGCGTGGGTTCATCCGGAGGTTTTCAGCTTTCTGTAGGGGGTTTGTGTCTTTAGGGGGTGTTGGGGCTCATTCCAAAAGTGAGTAAGCAGGTGTGGGGGCTTCAGTGTGTTGAACCAGAATCGCTTCAGAGCCAAAAAAGGATATTCTCCGTCACAAGTCCGTCACAGCACGAGGGAGCTCAACATGGAGTTCAGGAATGGCTCCCCCTCCCCATACCCTCAACTACCCAGACCCGTCTGAGCCAAATCGAAAACCCTCAAACCTTGAAGCCACGAGTCCCAAAACCCAGGTGCCTAACACCTGCGCCATCATGCCCGCCCAACCCCAAGCCCTCAACTGCCCCAAACCCTCTTAAAACACAATAAAACACAACCCCCTCTAAGACCTCACAGTAAGTGCATTCACCCTTCCAACACTCCACTGCTGTTGCTGCTGCCTGTGGCCGTCGCCCCTATAACAGCAAGAGTCCCACACAGAATCTGCGAAGGAAAGGCCTCTCACCCAAAACCCCAAAGCAAGACCCAAGGCCCCCCAGGGAAGTCCGTGGCCTCCTGCAGATCCTGGGAAGCCTCGTCCAGCAGGCCATTGGAGACCTTGGCCCGCGCGTCACTGAGGCGCCTCAGTGCCGAGCACATGAAGCGTCTCAAGTGTGGGGGGGGGGGGCAGAGTTTGCCTTCTTTCTATTCTGAGGCCGAGAACGAAATCGCCGCCAAGTGGCTGCTGAGCCTCTCCGCGCGAAGCGGCAGCAAAGCCACTAAGCTAAGCCCCAAAAGGGCAGGCCCCAGCAGGGGCCCCAGCCTCTTTGAAAGGGCCACGGCCTCCTTGGATGTCGCCAGAACCTCCACCGGCTGCCAAGTCTACGTAAAATCCCGGCAAGGACATCCAGGCCCCGGGCCTTCTGTCGCCCGCGCCCCTCGAAGAAGCTCCTGGCTGCCTGACTGAAACGCAGTCTTCTTCGGAATATGATTGTCAGAGGCATTACTGTCTCCACGCCATCTCCGCCCAACTCTTCGGCTCTTCGGCTGCTGGCACAGACCTGGAGATCCTTCTGGCACCCCCCAAAGGCGAAATCCGAGACGCAGAGCCCCTGGCCTTGCCGCCACCGGGCTGGGAGCCAGCGGCCAACTCCAAGCTGCCGGCCTCGTGTCACGGCAAAAGGAGAGCTTTGACGAAAAATTGCTCTCAACCCGTTAAGTCGTCGTTCCCGGATTCATCGCTGTCTGCCTGGAACTCCTGGTGCAGCATGGACAGCTAAAGTCTCTTACAAAGTAGGAAGTGGAATTAGAGTTGAATTCAGGGTGCTTCGCTTTGGAGGAACCTAACTCGACTCGGCTGTTCGGCTTTGAGTTCCAAGCTGTATGGACTAGAAAGGTTTTGGGCTTCGGGCCTGGCTAGGATTTACGGGTTTAAGTGTTGCAGAGGGTTGATGGATGGAAGGTTTAAGCGTTTCGGGCGCAGGGTTCGCAGCCACCCCAGAATATCCTCGGCCCTCGTAGAATACATGGTAATCCTGCCATACAGAATTCATTCCCACTGCAGAAGCAGGTATAATATGCTTGGGGCGGTCAAAAGTCGGACGCCTCGCAGGCAAGGTGGAATGGCATAGAGGCTCTTCTGAACAGTTTCGCCGCCACCAACTTGATCGCGTTTTGTTCAACGAATAAGCTGCACGTACAAGCCCGCCAGCTGGCGCTAAAGATTCCTCATGGGCCATCTTCTGAGGGAAACACACCCCAAGCATAGAACATGTTCAACCATTCCATCGTCTGTCCCTAGCCTAAGCCGTGGCATCTTCTCAATCTCACCCGGTTGTCTTAGTCTTCCCTGTTCGTTCCGGACCGGCATGTAGAAGTCATCAACGACATGTGCCCCACATGGTCCCGAACTTGCATAGCCACTCAGCTTCGACATGGATGAAGCCGGCAGACAGTGTGAAACTAAACTGAAAGGCTCGCCTATCTGACCTCAGAGCCCGAACCTCTCCACACCGTACCCGTGCCTGCGAAGACAGGAGGAGCATGCCAGCCTTGCCAGAACAGAGGGGGGGGGGTCTGGGTTTCAAGTCTACCCACATCTCTATCCACTCCAGGTCCTCTATATCAGCTCTGCCTTCTCCAGCCTGTCTATCTAGCACGCACTCATGAAAGCAACAGGTCCCAATGGCTTTACTCCACTGCAAAGAATGCACTAAGCACTCAAGAGCTGCAGAGATGGGTGCAGCCAAAGACTCCCGAAATCCGCACCTCGCGGCCAAGCTCGCAAGTTTGCCGCAGCAAAGCTCTCGCCTACAGTGAGCCGATTGTTTGGGGCTCTGGAGTCGCAAGGGGCTGGTGCATAGGCTTCGGATTCGTCGCTTCACCTCCGTCTACTTAGTCTACTTGTCCGGGCCATACTTCCACTGTGCATTTGTAATGCCTGCTTTCGCTGCCTGCACTGGTGCAAGGAAAGCAATGCAACTATTGGTGATGTCTCAAAGCAATGCAACTATTGGTGATGTCTCCAGTCTGGTAGCCGGTGTAGCTACCCACAGGAACTCAATATGGGCAGTTCTCTAAATCAGGGTCCCCTTTCTTAGGTCCCAAGAATAATACGGCACCATTCTAAAAAGGACCCTATGAGAGGGACCCTAACTTAGAGAACTACCCGTATTATGTCATCTTGACGATTTCCTCACATCAGCTGGCCAGGAGCCAGGCCGTGTCTGCAGCAAGGCGAGCTGCGGAGTAGTCCTGTCTACCGAAAAGCTCAAAGCAACAAGGGAGCTTCCGAAAATAAGGGGTACCTTATTTGGGGTCCTTATAATAAGGATCCTACTATTTAGGGTGCTATATTAGGGTTCCCTATTTTTTGGAAACCCCCACAAAGCAAACGCTATTTTTGTTCGACGATGCTGCGGATGATACGGAAGAAGACGTCGTGTAGAGTCTGACCTTCTTGATCGTAGTTGGAACAGGGACGAGCATGACCACCAGTCTGGCTGGTAGGAGCAACAGTCGTCGAAACGGCAGTCGCAATGACAGGAGCTGGCGGTGGCCATAGTGGGAATTAGCAGTGACCATAGTGCCATTGTAGCAGTAGCGATAGCAACAGCAGTCGCAGTGGCAGCAGCAGCAGCAGCATCTGCGCTGTAATGGCAGCAGCAGCGGGGAGGAGTGGCAGTGCCAGGAGTAGGAGTAGGTGGAGTAAGAGGAGCAGGAGGAAGAGGAGACATAACAAGCACCCTTCAAGCAGGGATAGGGACAGACGGGCTGCGGCTCAACTGAGAACCGTTCGAGTCCTAGACTTGTCTTCTGCTTCGGGTGGTTTGGTCGGGTCTCACCGGCTCACCAGCCTGGCGAAGGAAGTGGATCCTCGCGACCAGGTGGGCCGCACTGGCCTCGGAGTCTGTTAGCACAGAACAATAACAAAGTCCATGCCAGATCATATATATATATATATATATATATGGATCTCATCTTTTTTCTGCTAAACCCTAAGTCTGCAAAATCCCCAGCCTCGGCTCGCTGGTCAGAGACCTCCCTGAAGAGCTCCTGAGGCAGCCGGAGTGGAGTGGGCAGGGGCAGTAGTAACAGAGTGTGGGGTTTTTAACCATTGTAGGATGGGGCATCCTGATCAAAGCCACGTCATGAAAGGGAAGCACTGAAGTTGATGAAACAAGATCACTCTCAGTGAGATTCATTGAATCAGTTCTAAACTCAAATGGCCCCGAGTTTCATCAAACAGAGCCCCGAACCGACTGAGAGGTACAAAACAACGCCAAACCTGGAACCGCACAAGCCTTAGCCGCATATTCTCAACACTTTCAACTCTTTGAAACCTTGAGCCCTGAACATTGAATCTCCAAACCTTAAGGAACCCACGAAACCGAGTGGCGCAACAGGCCTGACCACCGAAACGGTGGAGGGCTGTTGATTTCGTTTTTCAAGGTTTGGCGGGAGGCCTTGGTCTTTAAAGGTTTGGCGGGACATGGTTTGGGTTCGCCCGTGCGTCAAGCTATTGGGGATTCTAGTTTTCAGGGCTTTTTGGTAGCTATTGGGGATTCTTGTTTTCAGGGTTTGTTACTGTTTGTGCATCAAGTTATCGGGGATTCTACATGTAACGGTGGGACGGACCCCCGGCCATTTGCAAACTCAACGTCTTTATCACCGTTTCTGAAAGGGTCCATATGGTCCATATGGGTTCTGTGTTTGGCAGGATGATACTTGAAGCGATTTTGCCCAGCTTACCAAAACTGCGGGGATTAGGGGGACGCAACCCCCCATTTGCAAACAGAATGCCTGCATAATGGATTTTGAAAACTTCTACAGTGCTTGACGCAATTGAAACGAATGCCGGGGGTTGGAGGGCACAGCCCCCCCCCCCCCATTTACACACGCAACGACTTTTTCTCGGGTCCATATGGGTTCTGTCGTTGCTGGCAGGATGATGCTTGAAGGGATCTTGCACACCTTAAAAAAACACGGGGGTTGGGGGGATGCAACCCCCAAATCAATTTGGCAATTCCGATCTCATCACGTAGCCTAAACACGCGCCCTCATTTGGCGATTCCGGTTCAACATACATCCTAACCATGCCGCCGGCGATTCCGGATCATCATATCTCTGAAACACGCCCCCTCGTTTGGCGATTCCGGATTTCATAAATCTTCAACTGCCCTCTCGTTTGCCGATTCCGGTTCAACATATACTGTACCTCAAACTCATTTGGCGCTTCCGGTTCAACATGCATCCTACTCACGCCCCCCCTCCATCATCTGGAGATTCCGGTTCATCATATATCTTAAACTGCCCTCTCAATTGGCGATTCCGGTTCATCATAATCTGAAACACGCGCCCTCATTTGGCGGTTCGGTGTTCATCATATATCTTTAACATGCCCCCTCATTTGGCGTTTCCGTTTCATCATATACCTTCAACACGCGCCCTCATTTGGCGACTCCCGTTCATCATGCATCCTAAACAGGCGGCCTCATTTGGCGAAAACCAATCGACATTCAGAAAACAACAAAAAAACACGAACAACTAACACACAGCCCATAAAGACCAATTTGCAATTCCGGGTCCTCATAACCAGAGGACCAAGAAACCCGAGGACAAGGGCAGCGCTCAAGGGGACCATTGGATCGGGGGACCAGAGGACCACCTTCAAGCCAAACCGTGATGCAAGGACAGCCTCTCGCCAAACCTTTAAAACAGAAAAATCCCTGGCCCCTCCGAAACCTCAAAGACAAAACCCAAGCAGAAATCCTGCAGACATGAACACCTAGGCCTAGGCCAATCCCTGCGAACACCCAACCCTTACCCCAACGCCTAAACCTAACTAACCTAACTAGACTCAGCCCTAAATCACGCCGGACCCTAAACCCGACAGTCCGAGCCTGAGCATCCGATGCAGCACTGAGAGCCGCTTCCAGGTCTCCAAGCTGCAAGAAGGCACCTCAGAAGGGACATTTGTATTTATGGAGTCCCTCCAGTAACCCTCAAAATACCATAGATACTATAATTCTTCCCCAAATGTATACTGCAGAAGGGACATTCCCCAAGAAACGCTTACAAATTACACTAATCACTAAGCTGAGGCTTCATCATGTTCCCGGGCTTGTGGTTTTGTCTAGGGGACTTAGCGCCTGTCAACAGCTACATCTCCCAGAGCTTAAGGTTGCATATGGGGGTTTCCGAAAATAGTACCCTAAATAATCGGATCCTTATTATAAGGACCCCAAAATAAGGTACCCTAATTGGAAACTCCCATATCTCTTTTCTTGTGGCCCAGTGTTTGTGCTTGGGCTTGGGCCTCTTCGGTGTCGTGAGCGCTCTGTGGATTTCCGCTCCTTTTGTCTCGGCGCGTGAGAGCTACGTCTGAGCTCAGCTAAAGTTGCGCTACGCTCGCTCCCTTCGCCAGTCACCGAACACGTTTCAAGGGTCGAGGACTTCCCTGGTTTGGAGTTTGAGAGCAATCATAGAGCTGCGGGGAGGGAACAGCCCTATGAACCTCATAAGCTGTCGTTGCTCTGCCTGACCTGAGGAACGGAGGCATCCGGTTGGCAAAGGTGTGCGGGTCGCTGTGCCAACAAGGCCGGACTTCCAGCCCTGTGAAACGTTGAAAACTGGCACTGGGCCAGCATCGATGGGCTATAGGGATCTTTAGAAATTGAAATATATCAAGAGATGAGTTGGGCCGGGTCGGGGCAGGCGCTGAACCGTTCTTGAGTGATCTATTCCACTCGATTTCTTGGGAAGCGGCCTGCCCAGTCCAAATTGCCAGAGGCTTCCCGGCCCCCCGAGATTTCGCTTCTCAAAAGGCGAGCGACTCGTGGGTACTCACAAAGAGCTTAGTCACCTCGCAAGAAGAAGGAGCCGTCTTTGGGCTTTGGGTCCCGTATTAGATTCACCCCTGGCCTGGGTTCCTCTTCCAGCCTTCCTCGCCGGCACCGGGTGTCTGCCCACCTGTGGCTTGCAAGGTTCGTTTGTGTGTCGCACGATCTTCGTAGTGACGGCAGAAAGAGTAGCTGTAGCGGAAGCTATAGCTGCATCGGCAGCAGCGCCAGTAGCAACAGCAAGAGCAGCAGGTATTCGTGGTCGTAGTCCAGTGTCGTCGTCGTCATAACACAGCCGTAGGCGTAGTTGTAGTCGTTGCCACAGTCGTAGCACTAGCGATAGCAGTAAGAGTAGCAGTAAGAGTTGTAGGAGCAGGAGCAGGAGCAGGAGTGGCGGTGGTGGCGGTGGTGGTGGNNGGCGGCGGCGGTTGCCGTCGTTGCTGTTGCTGTTGTCGTGGTCGTCATCGTCACCGTCGAAGGGCAATATCGGATTATCGGCTGCAGCGAGGATCTCAAGAGTGGTCAGACGCCAAACGGACGCCCCCAGCCTGCAACGAGGTCGCGGATGAGGTCGCTGCCCAGAGGCCCAGTCCTCAGGGCCTTGGTCCAGCCGAAGCCAACGCTCCAATCCATGCTTACGCAAGGCTCCTCAGCTCCCCTTAAGACCAAGGGGCCAGGTCGTAGGCAGTCTTGCCACCCTCATCTGCGGCCTTGCGTGGAAGAAAAGGAGCGCCGTGCTGTGAGGCCGTGGCCGCAGCTCCGGGGCAGCGGCCATGATGTCTGCATCCCCCTGCTCCACCAGCAGCTTGCAAAGCTCCTACAAAGGTGAAGAGGTGGTCGAACTGTCGTAGCCGAGCTCTCGCAGTTCGACTGCAGGGAGAGGGAGGAAGGGCGCTCAAGTTCAAGTGCCTCCAGGCCATTCCCGGCCGCGGACATCAGGGGAGTCCCTGGAGTCGCTGCATGTTTTTTTTTTTTTT